CGCGGGTGCAACATCGGCATGCGATCCACCCTTAAATCCGTTGGATCGTGCAAACGGGACAGTCGGCATGCGAGACGATCCTCCCTGCTGAAAGAGGGTTAATACCCTTGGCGCACGGAATCGACAATAATTGGGAATTCCTATTACCCCTTCGGCGATTCACGGATGTTTCGAACGTATATACGGACGCGTTTAGCCGTGCTAATTCCGACGGTGTCGTCCGCTAATTTCGATCCGCTTGAACGGATTCTGTCGCGTTTGCGCGGGGAATTCGTGAACAACCACGACACGATGCTACATCGGGCCAGGAAGATGCTTTTGATGTATGCGGAGGCAGTTTCACGATCGGTCGTCGTTGAACTTTGTCGCGTGTTCATTCGTCCGACACGGTGATCTATCGCCCGTGAAACTATTCCGACTCGGAGGCATTCCGTACCATTGCGGTATCGAAACTATGCCTATGACGATCCCAACGCGATTAAACGCATAATTCTTCTACTTAAATGAACGAGTTAAGGCAAACTTTAAATCGAGGCAACTTAACCCTTTTGTTCCCAATTTGTTTAAATATTACGAACAAATATTTCTTCTAGCATTTTTGACTATATTTCATGGTGTATATTTAAATGATTCACAAGAACATTTTAACACTTTGAAAGCATTTAGTGCCATTTTTCATTCGTTGGGAATTAGCAATTTTTTTAACTGGCATTATAAATTACTACATTAAATGTATAATTATAATAAATAAATTAATTACGACATTATAAATGACTGTTATAAATGACATTAAAATCCATTTTTCCTACCTTCGATCAGTGAACCCTCTTGAAATAGCACATATTGCCTATCATACGGCATAAATTGCTTCCACACGACAAGTTCCATTAGTGATCCAGGCTAGGCGATGGTCCAAATTCGACAAGCTTCCCTTACGAGAAACGACAGACATACTCGTTCCAAGAATCCCGTAAACTGTCGCCTGGTTTCCAGCAGACACACGTGAACGAGAGAAACAACTGAAAATTGGGTCGATCTACACACACACATACACGACCCCGATGCGACCCGTCTGTTTACCTGTTGCTTCCCGCGGTGCGCCAGGACACAGCGGTGTCGCGTCGACGACGTAGAAAAACAGTCGCGGGGAGGGGCCGCGAGTGAAAATGCAAAACTAAATGGGCCTCAGTGGTCCCCGATGACGGCGTAGTCGGTCCCCCGGGGGTCATAAAAAGCAGCGGCCGGCGAACGACTGGCGCGGTCGGGCGATCGGTCTGTCCGACAAAAGCGGGACAAAAGGACGAAGTAGGGAGCCGTGATATCCTGGCGCCAGTCGCGCAGGGTCCATGGCTCGGTCGGGACAAACAAAACGAATCCTCTCCTCGATGGAATGAGTGGGGAGGGTGAGAGGGAGAATTGCAGCGGTCGATGCAGCTGGATATACACTGTGCAGCAAAAGGGAATATGGGCCAGGCCAACCGACGGAATTCGCGAAAAAGAACGCGATTCGAGTGCCATTGGACCGCGTCGAATCGGGGACGATGCCGAAGGTTGTTCCCTTGACGTGGTGTGCTGGTTTTGCCGCGAAACGAAAGTCGGATAACGACGATGATATATTACACACTGAAAGGGGCAGCCCAACGCGGTTATCGAGATGAAAAATAGCCACGGTGCACGGAACGCTGCGGTCATAATTGAAAACGCGGCTTTCAGTCCTGGGAATGGACGAAGGAAAATCGCGATTCGAGGGACCAGAGGAAAGCAGATTTCCGTTTTTATTCCCCCGACCCCCGATAACGTACCCTCGTGGATTGAATATTTCTGATCGCGGTGACATGTCTTCGAGTGGAACTTATGGAACGACAGTGATTAACTGGGAATTACGAGGCGCCAATTAGACTGGTTTCCCCAGACCAGCTCGATCCGTTTTATTGGAGCACGCTGGGTGCAAAGGGGCTCGCGTTCCTCGCATGGCACCGCGTTTCGCGATAAGAATCTAATTGATATTTACGGCCAGCCTAGTGGATCCAGGTATTTTTAGGCTGGCGCTAAGTCAGCGTTCATGTAAAGCGCAGTCGAGAGACGGGCGGGGGTAGCAACGACCCCGAGGAAATGCGACGAACTCGGAACTCCTCGGGTGACGGAACGGTACGAATCGATATGCCGGAATGCATACGAAATGGAGCGTTATGTAAATGCTGCGCTACCCGAAGTGGGTAGATATTATTGGACGGAAACGGATAGAGAAATAAAAGTGAGATTTCTTCTTCAGGTGAACCCTAAGATAATGCTACTTAACCCTTTCGTTCCCACGGTGGCTATGTACTCTAAATTACGAAATAAAATGTTAGTATCGTTCATTCTGTTCATGGCTTTGAGTATATAATAGTTCCTTCTAGTTTTGTAGATATAGCATGGCAGAAGTTTGATTGTGCATTCAAAAGTTTATCGGTAAATAAGGTATTGTTGGTTTTTGTCTCTTTCATTTGATGGAACTTAAGTGTTGAGCATTGTTAGAAATATAATAGAAACTTACAAAACCTTAATTTATTTCAAATATTTCAAGAGGGTTTATTGATTAAAGGTGAGAAAAATTAGGTTAAAATGAAGCATCCCTCGATGGACTCCACCTACCAACTATAGTAGCTCATTCAAACTAACTACAGAAGGCTAACATATAAGTTTAGCATTTATGAATCCTTTTTACGGAATTACCTTTTGAAATAAAAAAAAAAATCCTCGTACATCAAAATGGCACCGGCTATTCTCTCTTCCGGAGAAAGTCAATTTTGCATAAGTCACGCCCCAAGCACGGGCTGGCACGAAAACGATCAATTTGCTTAACCGACCGATATCGACTCTCGATACGTCGTCGTGGTCCGGGGGACGAACGTTATTCACGGCACGCCGGTCAATAAGCTCGAATTATCGATAATTAAAGCGCAATCGTGGTAGCGGCCCGCCATCGAGCCAAGAAAGCGGGTGGAAGGAGAACAGCAGCAGCAGTCGTTTATGCAAATTCTTCCCCCAGATCAGCCCGTGATCCCTTAAACCTGTTCCGTGAGAAACGTGTCTCGCTTTCAAAAACTGGCCCCGCACAGTATCTGGCCGCGACGATCGAGAAAACTTTTTAAACGACGTCGCTAATTAATCCTCGGCTCGTTTTCTCCCTCTTGGTCTTCCGGAGCCGGCAGCTCGTGTCGGATAAAAAACCAGATCGAAGGAGCGTCCTGTCGCGAACGGTTTCGTTCCTGACAGCGAGAGGGAGGGGCCCTGGCGGCGACTCTGTTCGTTGATCCACGCGAATGATCTTCAATGGACGATCAAGAGAGTCCCCGTTTTCCCCTCTCCACGAATCAAATAGACGCAGAACCGTTCTTCTTCTTCTCCCTGGTCCTCTTCCTGGACCGCTGGCAATTTTCAAAGAAGCGTAATTCTTATCTAATCGGACATCGAGGAATTTCTTAGGTATACCGAAGATCCTTTAACGATCGTCTCACGTGACATCCATTCACCGAGGGGGACGATCGAGAACCCGCGAACAAGACCCCGTTCGTTGTATCTCAGTCCCGGAATTTTTACAGGAAGCAACACTGGCCTTCTCGTTCTCTCTCCGTTCCAGGAAGATTTACTGTTCTTTATATATTTGCCGGACAAGGCGGCCCTTTATTGAGATGTCATCGGTTAACGCAAAACGAGAGTAATGCGATTGGTCCTGCCTCGGGTGGTCCTGGGTCCCGGGTAAAAAGTTGTCCCGGGCCCCGAACGAATATCTACCCACCCACCCCCCTCTCTTCCAATGGGCCCCGTGCAACTGTTATAAATAAGCCCCACAAGGTATAGGATCGATACACGCAGAGGCGAGTAGCCCTACCGCCGGCTACTGGTATACAGGTATGTAAACGCCGTAGGGACGGCGAAAGCGGAGGACGGACGCGGCGGTGGTACTTTTGAATTAATTATTCGATGCTGCCCCATGTATGAATAATTCAAAGACGTTCGGCAAGATGAATCTTGACCGAGACGCACACTTTATTCGCCGGGGTGCGGGTACAGTGGAAAATGGGATTGCCGTTTGATTTATCGAGTCCCCTCCGGGAAGGAAAACCGGATACTGGGAAATTTCTCGCCCCCTGAACTCCTTCAAGGGGTGAGATCGTGGAGGTTGGAAGGTGCAAATTTCATTATCTTATTGTTCCTTTCGTTCCCCTGTACACTAGGCAGGAATAATTCACTATTACCTAGAGAGGTGAAAATTCGAGAGTTTTGGAGGAAGTGCATAGCTAGTCTTGGAGAACGAAGATTGATTAGCTGGTACCTAATTTGATAATGGACAGTTTCGCGATACTTGTCAGGGTGAAATCCCGTGCACTATTTCCGTACGACTAATCACAGTGAACCCACCTCACGAAAATAAAAGTGAACCGTCAGGGCGCCTGTAATCGATCTGTTACATGAGTCAGTTCCCGCGACGAACCGAGCGTGTCCATTGCACATTAATTATTATTGCGATAGTCGAAAGGGAGGGGGTGGGTGCGCAGAGCTCCATTTTTTTGTCAAGCCTCGGGTGTAATGAACCGGCCACGCCTCTCGTGGTCATTACTCATTCGATCTCGCGAAACTTTTATTCGTGATATTCACTAAAAGTCGTACCCACCGAATATTAAACCACGGTTCCTTGCGAAATAATAACGTTCCTTATAATTCGTTTTCTTCGAGTTGACGTGAAGTATCACGTTGCTGTTTTAATATGATTTAAGTGCATAATTCCTTTCGTTTCTGGAAAGCTATATAGAAAACATATAACCTCGCCATTTTTCGTCTCATAAATCGTTCAAGATTGACGGCTCTAAATACCCCCTTATCGTCAACTTAGGTTACTGAAGAGGTGCATGTTATGACGCACTGACGAGAATCGGTTCTGAAACGGATTCCCGTCTTGTGTCTCTCGCCTGCTGCCGATTCCGAATCCACGTTATCTTGCAAAACACACGTTTCAGGGTACTTCGGCAAGTATCTGAACAAGTACAACGGCTCGTACATACCGCCTGGCTGGCGGGAATGGGGCGGTCTCATAATGAATTCACGGTACTACAACTACAGCGTCAACATGAACGGGAAGAAGATAAAGCACGGCTTCGAGTACAGCAAGGACTATTATCCGGACCTGATAGCGAACGACAGCGTGGCGTTTCTCAGACAGAGCAAACACAATTTCGCCCGGAAGCCGGTGATGCTGGTCGCGAGTTTCCCGGCGCCCCACGGGCCGGAGGACTCGGCGCCGCAGTTCTCCCATCTCTTCTTCAACGTCACCACTCACCAGTAAGTACCAGAAACTTTGTCATTCCGTTCCACGGGGTTCGTTACCCGGTATCTGTCCTCCCTTCGCCGTCGAACCGACACGAATCTGGGCCAGCTTGTTAGCCGTTAAGGGGATGGGAAGATAGAATTTTGTTTGCCGTTTAATCACGTGATCCCGTTGTCAATTCTCGCGAAATCGAATCAGTTCGAACAATTCAATCGAACCGGTGTCGAATCGTCAAATTGGGATTTTCCTCGCTGCGTGAATCGGTGTGATATGTCGGACTCGTCCTGGGATTTCACTTTCGCCCAGCGAGTTATTTCGCATTGGTACGCGCGCATGTGTGTCTGTGTTCGCCGCTCTTTCATCTCGTTTTCCAACGTCGTGTTTCTGCCACGCGAAATGGGTCTCTCGAGCTCACCGTCGTAGGCGCCGTTTCTCCGGCGCGATTACCGAGGCAACTTGGCTGGATTATTATTTACACACGTACCGTGCCGCTCTTTCCCCTCCAGCCTTTTTAACCGGGACGCGTTAGTCGCAATTTACCTTACTCCCCTGGAACCGTATCATCTTTAAGCTCCTAAAGGTCTCATAACGGGATAGTCTTTTCAACGAGTTCGCGGAAATGTTTCGAATATAGAGAATGAAATTTTCGTTGGTGCTGCCTATGATAACTTCCATCCAACCGAATAAAACTGTAACACCAGACGAGCGGAGAATGTCAATGGTGCTCGAAAGAGATTATAAATAGACACGGCAAACTGTGCTCAACGTCTTTATTCACGGATCGCTTCGAGGCATTTTAAATGCCAGTCCCCGGCTGTGAATTAGTTTCATCAAAACCTCCAGAACGGTCCCTCGAGCCAGCCCCCTCCATCTGTAACAATCCGTTTCTGGATGACCTGGGTCTGCTGCGACTCTCGACGTCGCCGTAGCGTTTCATTTTCATTCAGAATGTCTTGCATACGGTAAATACGGTACATACCATATACACGCCGCGCTTCCTGACAATAAGACTTGTTTCTCCGAACCGGCAAACGTGTGTGCGCGCCCGTCATTCGACGTCCGGCTACGCTCTACAGCACCGGACAATGGCTTGGTTCTTTCTCTCTCGACTGGTGAGAAAGGTGTATATACAGGGTGTTCCAAAATAATGAGACAATCTGCAACATGCATATTCCTAATGCTAATACAAATCGAAAACTCCTTTACCGTTTTGTAATTCAAAGCTCCATTTCTGAGATATTAGCAGTTAAACAAACTCCAATCAGCTGAGCGGTCGGCCACGCGTAACTACGTATAGCTGACCGCTCAGCTGATTGGTGTTCGTTCAACTGCTAGTATCTCGAAAATAGAGCTTCAGATTACAAAACGCTCCAGGACTTTTTGACTTGTATTTGCATCAAGAATATTCATATTACGGATTGTCCCATCATTTTGTGACATCCTGTATATATGCACGAGAAGAGCAGCCTCCGGAGCAGAAGGGCAAAGGGGGCGGAGTCCACCGACGAAATCCGTCGTCGAACGGTCGCGCGTTTTGTTCGCGGGTAGATTTTAATGGCACATAAGCGAAAAACCGGGTGCGAAGGCGGATGACGAAAAAAGGGAGACAGAGACACTCTAGACTAGACAACCGGATAGATAACTGCAGCCACGGTGTGTATACATGTGTGTGTCATCGTCGCGTGATGGAGTGCCCTAGACGGGGCGCGCAACGCGCTCACGATGAAAAGCACTAAAAACCAGCACCCCTCTTGCTGGTCCTCGTCTCACGCCCCTCTGGACACAGCCAACGCCCCGTCATTGTACCGGCGTGATGTGCAGGTATTATGTTCACCTGTCTCTGTTCCACGACCGAGAAAAAAGAAAAAGAAAAACATACACACGTGTCGTCCTCCGTTCCCGTCTGTCTTCCCGTTTGCGACGAGAGTTCCATGTCTCTCGCTCGGACGCTCGTACCTGCAGCGACGATTCAGACGACGAGCAGAGAAAGCGACGTGACGTTTCGCGAAGGGATCTTTTGTGAATCGGGGGACTAGCGATTGCCTCATTGTATGGGGGTATTTTTGTTATACGGTATTACGCGATAAGCACCATCGATCGGGGAACAGAATCGATTCCACGGAGATCCTCCTTCCAATTTCCAATACGAAGTTCGATTCTATCGGTAACTGATATAACTTCCATTCCCATTCATCGATTCCTCGCTTGTTCCCTGCTCGCATCGAAGTACCCGCGTTTATTCTTTCTCTTTCTCGTACAAGAATGTCCGACCAGAATTTTATAAGGATTTGATCCCCCTGATGACGCCATTACACCGACAAAGAGAACACGAGGGATCGTAAAGTATCGTTCCTCGGCTCTCTGGGTCTTCTCTGCCCCCTTTTGCCGTATCTTTTATGTAGGCCGTTACTGTACCAGCACGCGGCGCGATGCAGTTGTACCTGTGCTATCTCTTTCACGGGAGAGCGAAAGAACACAGCTCCCTCGACTCGACCGGTGAACAATTCATTATGTACTGGATTTCCGAGCCGGGCAAACTGGGCCAGAATTCCCGATATTTCGCACGATACGGCTGGTAGAATGCTGGCTACCGTTCGTCATATCTCATTGTCCACCCGGGGATGCAATTGAAATAGGAACGTTCGAAGCTGTCGCGTGGTAGAACACGTTCGATTGTCCATACCGCGAATGGATCGTTTTTTGTGTTACGACGGTTAATCGAAGATTTATCGAACACTTTTTGCGTTCGATAAAATACGAGAATCGCCCGAAATCCTCCTGCAAAACGAATTTTCTCTGGTAACAGTGGCTGCAATCGAGTGTCACAACACGGCGCCGTAAATTCCAATTGAACACCGGATATCCATGATGCACCGCGGTCGGGCCGTTTAAGAGTGTTGCACCGGTTATAATGCCGGCTGGACGGTGGCCGTTTAATTCCATAACCGGGCAGGTTTTTCCATTCTACGCCCGTGCATCACTCGCTGTTCTCCAAGCCGCGTTGTTTAAAAGCCAATCGGGAGAAATTAATGCGTCGCCGCGGCACACGCGCAATTACGTGCTTTCACGGAACCCACACACACTTTTACCTGGATTTTGCCGTGCCCTTCAGCTGCCGCCGCCAGTTCGAACCGGGTTTCGAATTAATATTTTCGCGCACGTCGTAAGATAGACAGAGAGAAAAAGGGATTAAAGCGACACACCGGGGCGAAATCAGTTTTACGACTACCCGAGGTAATTTCCTGATCGAGTTTCTTTCTTTTTCACCCCGGGATACTGCGAGCCCAAGTGACGGTTCGAATAATAAATTCACCCGTTTTTTTCGTATCCGTTTTCTGCCCTCGTCTCTCGTTTTCTTCTTCTTCGAGAGAAAAAGAGACTGAAGAGGGGGGCGTCACTTCCGCATGGTCATTACTACCGTTAATTTACACGCAGCCAAGAGACGCGTAATAGCGGGGTCTTTCGACTCGAATCGGCCAATGAATTAGCCACGCCAATAATCGTGATTTAATAATGCTCGATCCCGGTTTGTAACGCGGCCCGAGCCGATGGTGTAACAGATACCAACCCCCCTCTGCGCGTAATTCCGTCATGACAGCTGGAATGACACGGTGTATGCCGATTGTAACTCGTTTCTACAGATCGCCTCTCACCCCCACTCGCGATTTCGTTTTACAAGCACGCACCACGAGATCCTTATCTGTTTTATGTAACATCTGATAAGACGTGCTCGACACGAGATACCCAGGATATCAGAACGGGGCCCGATGGTGGTATCGATCGTTGTATTAAACCGAGAAACCAGCCTCGTTTTTCACGGCGAAGGTGAAACGTAATTTACTTTCGAAGGAAACGCGCGAACGGGAGTGATCGGACGGGATGGTGGGATCTTACGAACCTCTCCATCGAATCCAATTAAATCGACGAGGGAAGAAGGGCCCGAACGGTATTAAAATGTTAATGAGGAGAATTGGAATCACGGGGCCGGGATCTCTTTTTATACGTGACATATATTTCAACAGTTATTCGGTACGATCTCTTTATCTGATAGATTCGATCTTTTTCCTCCAGTGGTTATACTTCAGCGACATGTTTCTATATGTACATGAAGATCGCGCAGACTGCTACGCGTTTGACACAGACGGATGTAAGGATATTGGGTACTGGGCGGGGGTAATCGATATTTGAGGGACCCCGGAGTGCCTGTCAAGCATCTCCCAAAGTATCACAGGAGCACGGAAAAGAGGCCATGTTAAAACGAAGAAAAATACGTCCTCCTCATCCGGTAATAGCCTCCCATCGACGACGAGCTTTCGGGCTCTCTTTATACGTTTTTCGTAAGACGTCTTAAGGAACGACTTGCACGTAACACAGTGTGTAACATACTATACATACGTATATGCACGATAACAAGGGGATCGATTGTTAAATCGCGTCTGCGAGTATCCATCAAATTGCCAGTGTATACAAATGATCCGACTGTCTTCGTTTCGACGGGGGCCCCGAGCATTCCTCGGGACCGACATACTTCACGTTCGACTTATTAACGATCTCGAATCAGACCGATCCGTCTCTGTCCGTACGTGTTCTTCCGTTTTCCTCGATCACGATCCAGCAAACCGAGAAAACTTCTCTGCAAATCTTTCCCCTCTCTCAATCTATCCGTCCCGTGTGCCTATAAATTCGATCGTGCAGATAACCGTCCACGTTCTGTCGTCCAGTTTACCTACGCCTCGTTAATCAATTCCACCGGTTAACGGTGGTGGCGCGCGGTTATCTCGCGGTGATCGACGCGGATTTAACGCCAGAAGTCGCGAATTGATGCATGCACGGTGCGTGTACCGTCATCTATCAAGCGATCGCGGGCGTTTTCAGTGAAAGAAAAAAAAAGAAAAACGGCGGGAAAACTACACAGTCGCGCGGTAGCAAATGCGATTGCCACTGAATTTTCTTTTCTTGCCACCGTGGGGCAAAAGATCAGCCCGCAAGCGCGTAATTGCCGCATAAATTCCCTCTCGCTAATTACTCCAACGATAAATCCCGATTATCTGATCGTCAGGGGATGGAAGGGGGATAGTTAGGGGCGATATTAGCAGGGCAACACCGCTGGTTTCGCTTGGAATTAAAATATAGCCCGCGGAGGCAAAACGTTCCGAGCGTGGTCGCGATACGCGTGAGCTTAAAACAAGTGGAATATCCGCGATAAACGATCCGAGGTCTCCGCCGGCGTTGCCTTCGTCCTCCCCCCCCCAATGGATTACTCACGGTGAAAGGGCGCTTGTCAAAATACAAGCGTGTGCTCGTTGACCGCGATAACGATGGCCCTGTCCTCTTGCTTGACTCCCTTGTGAACGGCACAGACGGTGGGGCCATTAACGCAGGCCCGTCTGAACCAGATCGGTGCAGATTGACCGTTGTTTTGATCGTCGAACGAAGCACAAACCACCGGTTGATTCGGTGGCGAAAGCCTGTCTCTCTTTGTGTGTTCTTTTTTTAAATCTTCGAATCGGTCGCGATTAAGGGCGTCTCGGGGACAAGTAAGCGGCGATCGAGGCTGCTTCGAGCTGAAGCCTTAGTAGCGGACTACCATAGGGAAGCGAGATAAAGTCTGTCGGAAACCTTTCGTCGCCGATAGTCTCGGTATTTACAGTCTCGGTGTTTCTTTTTTTAATCCTTTCGTTATTAAACGTGACTACAGTACTGTTCACCGCCGAGTATTTCCAACTTACCAACTCCCAACTATACTTCCCCCTCCACGCGTACTTTCACGCACACAAATTCGATCTCCCACCACGTTGCGAACGCCGTCCCCACCAGCACGATCCAGTTTTTGCGCAAACGCTGAAGCTGAAGCTACGACGACAGGAACTTAGCATGGAAGGGGCTCCCGATATATTGCCATTTGCGTGAATTTTCCTCTCCTACGGCCCCGGCAATCCATCAAGAGTCCACTGTAAATTGGTACACTGCAGGCGTCCAAGATGATGGGAATGAAATATGATCGTGGCGTCAGAGACCAGTTTCCCAAAAACAGCATTACACTCTTCACAGCAAACTGCAGTCTTGCAATTCAGCTATCCCGTACAGTGGCAGCATAGTGGCGGTCAACTTCGTCGTAACGAAAGGATTGAACGGCTTCTGACATTGGATTAAAGCAAACAAAAAAGGAGCAAGCTACATACGTCTGCCAATTCTTTAGTCCCAGTATCGACATACTTTTACAAACTTTCCTGCGATTGTACAAGCACGCTGTAACTCCACCTACTATAAAAATTTTGTCTCAAATCGCTTCATGCAATCCTTAATCACTGGACCATTAGAAGCAATTTCGTTCGGAACAAGTCAAGTCCAATAAGACATCCCCGGTCGGACAAACGAAGATTAAAGGTTTCTACCCACGATTCCATAATTAAAGACGTACCCGATTAATTTTAACCGGTCGATTAAATCTGCAACGGTTTAGAGAGACAGCTGTGGGCTTCTCCCGAATGATACACGCGGAGACAAAACGGGTTTGGATGCGCGCGAGAGATGAAACGCGGAGGCGGAACGACGAGCGGGAAGAGGGCGGGGGGCACGTGTCTGGGTGCAAAATATAATCGTGGAGTGTCTCGCGGGAAAAGTTAAGTGGCCGTGGCGAGCCGGTGTACGCAGAATAGGCCGCAATTAAGGAGCCCAGACGAAACGTACGTCGGTGCCCGCGCTCGCGCGCGCGTGGTCGGTGGGAGTGTATTCTTTTCGTTCGGGGGCCACCGTCAGATTGCGCGCTTTATTTTATATTTGCATAAAGGAACGAGCTGTGCTTTACGCCCGTTCAGCAGACGGGCGAACGAAAAAGCTATCCGGCGAAATTAACGCGGAACCGTGTTCCTCTGTAAGATCCGTTGCTCCTCGTCGCCCTCCACCCTCCTCATTTGAAAGCCCATGCTTTTCGGTCCCCTTTTCCTTCAGGCGAATTATCTTTGTTATTTGGAAACGATTTCCTTGAATCTTCCAACCCCCTCGACAGTCCTTCTCGTCTCGTGTCTCCAGAATTTACAGGCTTCTTTGGTGCGCGAATGCCATTTAACGAAGTGCAGTTACGCGAGGATGGACTCCTGCTGTCCACCCCCTTTTTTTCACGAAATCGACCATCCTTTTGGGAAACCATGATTTCCTTACGGCGCTGTTTTCTACAGATTTCAATGATACGAGCAGCAATTAAATACAGCTTTCCATCGCCAAATTCTTTAGGCGTTCTTTGGGCGTCTTGCGATTTTCCATCGGTCAACGGTCGGTACTGTACGAGATACCGAACGAACACGGCCCGGTAAACCTGTTCCTGCATCCCGTACGAAGGTCCGCCCAATGAGACAAAGATCGTCCGGGTTCGAGGCGAGCGTTCCTGAAGGACGCGGAGGAAGGTGAAGGGCCAATTACCCATAATTTCGTGTCTCGCGTAATTGGTGTAGAGCTAGGCGGAAAGAGGACGGGGGCGAAGGGGGCACGGTGTCTCGAGGGTCCACCGTGTTTCACCTTCTCGTTGCATCGAACTCTCGCATCTCCTCGCTAGATACTCGAGATTAATTCAATTTCGGCCAGCCCAGCTCGGATTCCAGGGAGAGGGAAGGGCGTACGCGTGTGAACACCTAAATCCTAGTTACTCGATCTAGGCTGGGGACTTAATCGGGTAATAAGGATTCTTCGACACGAGGGAACACGGATTCGGAGCCGGCAATTAGCTACTAATGGCTGGCGAGAGCTCGAGAACGAATCGACTCGGAACGACATACTTTCGTGTGGGCTCGTTCGGGTATCTTCTTTTAACCTTTAGGTTCCTAGGAGTATATACCTTTTGGGACATTAAGAAGACTCGTAAACCTGCGCAGTACATATATTATACAGGGTGGGCCACGAAACTTGATCTGCTTAGATTATTCTATTGCTAACTGTTCGATCGAAAATTTGTCTGACAAATGTAACACAATTCAAGGAGAGCTTTAAGGTGGTTGTATCAATGTTTTTTGTTCACCCTTTTCTTCCAGAGGTTTCAAGATCACCTTCAGTTTTTTTTCATAGATAAACCTATAATTTCTTTACGCCCATCTTTTACCGGATACTGAGACGCATTCGGCAAGCGTAATAACGAATAATATTTTGTTCTTCTGAACTAAAGAAACGTTAAGAAAATATAATTTACCTTAATTAACACGGTGTTCATAATGGAGCGTCCATCTGCTGTAATACACTCGCGTAAATGGTTAAGAAACGACTGCTTAGTTCTATTTGTGACAATAGAATAATCTAGGCAGACCACGTCCACCCTGTATATATATAAATTTTTCTTCACATAAGACCTCTTTTTTATGAACAAATACCGACAGTTTAAACGTTAATTGGGGATGGATTCACTATGTACGAAGGTGATTCCCATATAACCTTCGACGATGATTCGAGTACATATAATTGATCCGTGACAAAATGATCCACCGTGCAGAATGGTGATTCCCATACGACGAAATTTTTTGTTCCAGCACACCGGCCTACGATTACGCCCCGAACCCCGATAAACAATGGATACTGCAGGTCACGCAGAAGATGCAACCGATTCACAAACAGTTCACGGACCTGTTGATGACCAAGAGGCTCCAAACGCTGCAAAGCGTCGACGACGCGGTGGATAGGGTACGGAATGATTCGTTAAATTAACAACATTCGCGGCTCGGGACATCGTGTATATTCGATTGAAGTTTCTGCCACGGAAACGAGTCACTCACGCAGGCATGACTAAACGTCCGTTCGACGAACACGATGAATTATTTTCATTCATCATCCCGTCTGTTAACAGATCTACCAGGAACTGAAAGATCTCGGCGAGCTGGACAACACGTACATCATATACACCTCCGATCACGGCTACCATTTGGGTCAGTTCGGCCTGATCAAAGGGAAGAGCTTCCCGTTCGAGTTCGACGTGAGGGTGCCGTTCCTGATCAGAGGACCTGGAATCGAGCCCGGGACCATGTAAGCAAGGTTTATTATTACTTCTGATTCCTCGTAGGATGAGCCTCGCTCTGATTTCTCGGATTCGCGGTGCTTGGAAGAGCTCGTTAAGCCATCGGAGCTGACATGGGCTCGCGAGGCACATAAATGAATCATTACGAGTCGGTTAAGTGACGAGTACAGGCGTGACGCGGTGTAATTCACCTAAACGCTTGAATGTCGCGTGTCTGGTAACGACAGATTAATCGAATTGAGTTGCCTGTACAAAAGGATTCACGGTGACGTTAAGCGTCCAGATTTTTCGTAACTCCCCTAGTTCTCTGGCGCTCCATTTTCCAGAAGCAATCGGAGAACACTCTCCTCCTCTGCCTGACGAGGCTCTCCTCGATCATTGTTACCCATATAATTGGTGGCTGTACCAAGCCTATCGCGCAAGTAAACGTTACTCTTCGTAAATTCGCGTCGAAAACAGGCGAATACAAAGCACACGCGATAATTTTCGTCGATGAGTTGTCGGAGGGTAGCATCGAAGCGCCACAATTCCGCTCGAACGTTCTTCTCTTGAATCCCTCCCCACCCCAGAGTAAGATTTCACAGCAATAAATAGAGCACTTGCACCGTAAGTGGCTGTTGTCTGGCCATCTCCTGGAGTTACGGGTTCCACGGGCCCCGGGAAGCCTCGAAAGCGATAAATTATATCTCACCGTCTCCTGGAACACCAGAGCGACGAAAAAACACCTGGGTAAACTGAGACACACGGGGCCCACCACTGGGTTCTCATTGCAAAACTACCGTGTGAAGTGAACCCGCGACCACCTCGCGTATAAATCGAAGCACTCACACACACCAGGGAATAAGTACGTGTCTGTTATAAACATCGTTAGATTAATGCTTCTCGCCACACAGTGGTCCTTTTTCCTGAAAAGCTAGCCAAAATCCATAACTTCATTGAATTTTCATAAAAATCGGTATTCTCGTGTTTTTGGGATTGCTGAATTCGAATATCAAAAATGCAAAATTCGTAAAACCATATTTTTTTCGATTTTCAAGAAAAATCCAGCATTTCTACGTTTAGCAGGTCATGTATGTAGTTCAAACAAGGTAAGAATAATAAATGTTGTCGTAAAAGCAATAAGCTGCTACATACTTCAAAAAATATATTTTGGCCAACTTTTCGGGAAAAAGGACCACTGTACGCCGTGGTAACTTCGGTGTGTGTGTGTGTGCAATCCACCTCTCGGCTCTTCGACCCGCCTGCCAAGGATTTAATAACCGGCACCACGTACATATCTGGCCTCGTGAAACGTAAAGACACGAGCTTCGGTATTATTACACGAAACCGTCTCTCCGTTACATTTCGCAATGATGGAACGAGACTCGGCCAGCTTTTTCGAATGTCTACTCGTCGAACGATGAGGAAGTTTGCGGGTCGGAATATTTCGCTGGACGGTTATAAATGACTGAGATTCTTTAAAAGAGAGAGATGGAGTAATAATTACACCCCAGACTCACCCCTTTATCGTACCGTCATAAACCGAGGAATATTACGGGAACAAGCGACAAAAAAACGATCGGGAATGCAAGGGACGAAAATTGCCAGGAACAATCGTGGGGGGGGGGGCGAATATGCTCGCGAGTTCGGTATTCACCCCTCTTTGGGAAGGGGGGTTGGAGGTCGAAGCTTCAATATTGGATTACAATAAAGCATCTATATATGACGTTGCAGAGTAGACGACATAGTTTTGAACATCGACTTGGCGCCGACGTTCCTGGATATAGCCGGCGTCGAGACGCCGCCGCAGATGGACGGTCGTTCTTTCAAGAAACTTTTTCAGAAGTGAGTAGTACTAATTGCCAATTTTCCACCCGGCCGCACAACCAGCACGGTATCACATACCGCGAATGGTCGAAGCTGGCGAATTTTTTGGTTCAACGTAAAGCACCCCACCGCCGTGGGTTAACCCTTTAACGCCCAGATCCTTTAATCGTTATTTCAAATTCTTGAGACTACATATATGTCGTATTTTGTTATTTGTAATAAACCCTTCTTTTCCCTTTTTATTTATTTTTGGGGGGAATACTTGAGTTTCTCAACTTAAAACGTGGAGATTTACTTCACATCAGTGAAACTATGGATCCTTGCTGATAAAAATTGATATTAACCGACGACAGAATTTGACGCTCTTTTAAAATAAATGTTGTATCAGTGCAAACACTGGGCGTTAAAGAGTTAAACGGGGGTAAAATTCGAGGAGAAACGAATGCATGACGATTTTTAGCAAGCACGGGAGAAGGTCGAAATTCAAGTGGCCGGACACATTCCTGATCGAGTCGTCCGGTCGTCGCGAGACCCCGGAATCGATCGCTGAATCGAAGGCGAGGGAGGCTAGGAAGTTGAACGCAACGTTGGCCAGACAACACGCGAACGCGACGCCGGACGAGGAGGAGGAGAACATCGGTGATCCAGATATCGAGCACGATACGGAGCATCGATTCCTGGAAAACGACACCGGCAGCGACCAGGACATCTCCGAGGACGAGGACTTCGAGGATTCGATCATCGACGATTCAAGTAATAAACGCTTCACTCTTCTTCTATTAAATAAAGAGCATCGAGCTTCTGGGATTTCTTTCGCGTCGTATATTAGTTAACGAGATGATGCAGATTTTACTACAGAAAAGCCGTTAACAGTTTACACTGAACAGCCGCGCTGACCTTTTGCGCGGCAATAAAACCAGTCTCCTCTGTTCAAGAGCCTGCAATCTCACGGCACGATCCGATCCCTCAATGAATAAATTACGTTAAGTACGGATTTACTAAGCTGTCATTGGGATTAAGTGAACTTAACTGGTTTATCCGTGTTGAGGGGATTCTGACGGGTTGCAAACCGCGTGAAGGGATCTCGGAATAGGGAAATCAATCTGGTCGTCGATTGAACATATTGTTAGTCTTTGCGTGACAAGATAACATCGCGGGTAATCGAGGCCCTGAAAAAGAAAAACTAGTCTAAATACGACTTTCATCACGCAAGCTTAAATTTAATACTCCTACGAGCCTCGCAGAAAATGGACCCCGTGCGTCGGTCGCGATTTGCTCAAATGAATTCTTATTCATCCAGGGCTGGCGGATTATCGCGATAAAAAGGGTCCCTGGGGTCCTACCTCGAATATAAATCACGTCCAGGCTCGCGGCCAGGATTTACGCAACGATCAGCTCTAATCCCATTTTATTGGCCCGTGGCCTCCCTTCATAAAACCATACACTTTCACGTCCTGGCAGATCAGTTTCGCACTAGGGCCATAAACGTTGCTAGAGACCCCGTTTCAGGATCGATATGTGGCCGTAGACCAGCCGCGAATGATGATCCTTAAACCCTTTTTGCAGACTCGGATCCCCATCTGGACAACAGAGTTCATCCGGTGCACACTAGTTACTCGTCGAAGCACGAACGACTAGCGATCGAGTGCTCGCGACCGGAAGCACAATCTAATTGTGTATTGGGCCAGAAATGGCGTTGCGAGAGGGACGGTCATCGTTGGAGGAGGCACAAGTGCAAGTACGTCGCGCCTCCGCCGAGGGTGTCGAAGAAATGCGCCTGTTTCACGCCGAACGGCGTGGTCTACACTAGACTGGAATCGAACGATTACGAGGAACATCGGTATACCTTCGGCAGGGACAGACGACCCGACGTATACGCAGACGTTGCCAGATACTTCGCCAGACGAGGTACACAACCCCGACTCGTAATCAATGATCTCGCTTAATGGGGGAGTAAAGGAGGCGACGATGAAATTCGTAATGCACGGGCCGTCATCGTTCACGATTTTTTGTCAGGAAAACGAGACGTGTCGGACGGTACCAGCGAAGATGCTCGCCGAGATACCAGCACGGACGACGATGACCGTAACGACGGCGACCGAGATCGACGCGCCATAGACGAGGACGACGACGAGGGATTCTTAGACGAGCTGAACCAGCTAGCTGAAGATGTCAGGAGGGAATACGCGAGCTATCTTTCCAGGTAGAATTTAAAAAATACCACTGATACTTTGATAGATTGATGTTGGTGTTTTACGGACGAATGCGTTTCCTCAGGGATTGGATTGATAATCGTACGTTCGGCGATGATCACCTTGAATTTGATAATTTGCTCGGGTACTCCATAGAGGACTTCGATCCTAGTTTAGACAAGGTGGTCAAGGGTCGGCTGAATGTCGACGATATTGTTAGAAGGCACAGGAGAATACGAAGAAGCGTCACGAAGAAAGATACAGTGGAACATGTCACAAAAATTATGGAGAGTATAGAGGAAGAGCTGGATGACTTGAAGGTAGTTTTGTCATAGTTCGTCGATGATTAAAGGTTTTTTTTTTAACGTAATCTAAGAAAGATTTGTTTTCAGGCTACGCAAGCTCGCCATTCGGAAACGCGAAAAACGATACCACCAAAGTGTTCGGTACTACCGCAAGGCGGTGTGAACTGTTCCGAGACCGTCTATCAGGATCCAAACGAATGGCGTATTTCGAGGCGAGAAATCGAGCAGCAGATTAGGGAAATGCGGATGCAGCTGGAAACTCTAAAAGTGAGTCACTGCGATAGTCCCTGTTTTATCATGTTCGATAAACATCCTCGTTATTCTTTTTAGGAAATACGCCGTCATCTGATGATCAAGCGACCTCATTTCATCCCGGATCCAGAGGAAAGAATGGAGGATGCTGGGGATCCTCAGAAATCTCATCATCATACGTCAAAGCCTCATGTGAATCGTCACCACAAGAAACACGATCACACCAGTACTATTAATCCAACCACCACGACTGTTCGCACCACTTTAAAACCGAACCAAGTCACCGAGGAGAAGATCACGGCTACAGAGACCACGGCGAAGCCCAGATTTAATGTCACTTTCGCAGACAGCACTGATAGCGAGTCGGTTACCACGACAGAACCAACTGCGACGACATTATCAATGACGACCAAGCCGAAGAAGGTCTCGCGTCGTCCGAAAATAAAAGAGACGCCCAGTAATCGAACGGAAGTCGAGGACGATAAGCCTCAAAGACGCAGAAAGGTTCATCATCATCGCAAGAACAACACGTTATTTACAAATAGTGTCCACGACGATGTGTCCACGGTAAATGTTAGCGAAACCATGGAGACATCAGTCACCACGCAGAGTACAATGACCAGCCAGAGGAGTCAGTATCCTCAGAGCAGGTACACGACCCTTCCTACTGTCACAATGAGAGAAACAACGGTACAAAGAGAAGCTTCTAGCAACGCGGGCACTACAAACGACTTTACTAGAGAGACTACAATGGAAACAGACGCGCAAACGAGGATATCGACTGGGTCAGAGACTTCTAGCCTCGCAGATTCGACAGAGCCACTAAGAACGAGTCCCATGTTCGCTAAAACAACGACCGAAGGTCGTTCTAAGACAGTGTCGTTGCCTTCGACAGTATCTACAACACCAATGACAACCCCAGTTACGGTTGTTCCAGCAAGAAAGATCCCGAGAGTACAGAAGAATAGGACAACAGCGAACCTTGGACCATCCAGGATAGATGTAACCATTTTGGAGTCTCCTGATAGGAAGAACAGGCAAGGTTAGTGATCGAGTTCTATAAGATTACTGACATCTACTATAGATATGTTTCTTAACTAGATATGCTTTTTTTTTTAAATAACAGATGTAATAGATTTGTCGAATAATCGACGACTACCACCGATGCTAAACAGCCCCCTAGAAGCTCGCCACAAATGTTACTGCGAGCCCGATTCTTATCTGAAAAAGGACGAGAAAGAGATCGCCAGAGAGGAGAGGAGAAGACTGAAAGAAGAACGTTTGAAGAAGAAAGAGAGGAAGCTACGGAAGAAGGCCAAGCTCGAGAAGGAATGCTTGACCGAGAAAATGAATTGTTTCGAGCACGATAATGATCACTGGAGGACCGCTCCGTTATGGAGCGCTGGCCCGTTCTGTTTTTGTATGAACGCAAACAATAATACCTACTCGTGCATACGTACGATCAACGCGACTCATAATTTCCTTTACTGCGAGTTCACTACCGGTTTGGTTACTTTCTACAATCTGAGGATCGGTAAGTACCCTTTGAAACACTACGACACTAGCAATTACCAATTTACCAAGTTCAAACCGTGTGATTAAATTACCGTGATTACATGCATTTCATTCGTTTCAGATCCATTCGAACAGTGGAACAGGCTGTCTTCATTGACACCAACGGAACGATCATACCTTCACGATCAATTGGAACATCTGAAAGGTTGTAAGGGTACAAGGGATTGTACCGTTGGTAGCGCGAAGGAAGCTTTACCGCAACCCCAGCAACACCAACGATTGATCTCGAAGAGAAAATACGTGAATACCTTCGGTAAGTTCATATAACACTGTAGTAACTTTCTGATCACCGTTTATTTCATGTTCTTCGTTTCCCTAGAGGATATGTTTGTACCGTCAGCTTTGCAAATTATTCGTGAAAGTGAACTCGGTAGTCCACCTAATAAGAGACGAAAAAAGTTGCAAAAGTAAGTAAAAGCCTGTTAAGAGCTTTACGTTAATGTCAAGTAATAACACGTGCCACATCTGTAGCGAAGATAAGTTTGGTTCAACGATCCAGTGTCTTTACGGTGTGTTTTCTTGTTAAACAGCGTTTGGAACAGACGCAGCAGAAGCTGGCAGAGCAGTTGGAGGCATCACCAGGACGCGGTGAACTTCCGGCGGCACAGACATCAGTACTGATCGGTCCATCTGTTTTTTCTTACGCGTATATTGTCGAAGGGTGCGCGATGCATTGCCTTAGATGTATATTAATTAATTTCGCGATGCATTTAACAACGTAATTTATTTAGTGATATTTAATTGAAAAAAAAAAAAAAAAAGAAACGGAAACGTGATATATTTAATTCATGACGTTCTGATTCCATTAGACGACGAAGCTCACAGTTCGACGAATAAATACTGTGCAGATTTTTTAACGATACTGTTTTCACCATGAAATTATCGCGTTCACCATATACATGTATACACATGGTGTCTTGTTCGAACCACGCGACGAAGAGGGAAACGAGAAACGATCAAAACAATGACGATCCTTTTTTTACTTAATAGCAGATATTTTTTATAATAATTTATTTTACCCTCGTCTCTTTAGGTCTTTATACAAGATTGCGGATAACTTGTATCGATACTTGCCTACTGAAATTTAGAGCAATTTTAAAAACCTCGATTATCCGTACTAGACGATCATCTACTTCTTTGCGAAGTGACATAATCGATACCAGTAGCGTTCTAGACAATATAAATTGTCTACAAGAAAGAGTTCGAGTATTCATCTACCGCAATTAGGGCAGTTCGAATTTGAATTTTGTGAATACGGACTGATACGCACAACGAAGTAATAAGCACGATAGCAAAATTATCTTGCCAAAAAGTTCTTTGCCTAATTTTGCAAAAAACAAAAAAATACAAACGTCCTTATGCGTTCTTACTATCGTGAACAGATTATTTTCAATGAAGCTATCATTTATTCGATCTTTCCTGTTGTCTGTAAACGATGCAGAATAAAATAAACGCTCCCGTGACGTACTGCCATAAAATATCTTACAATCATTACCAGCAGTCTCTACTGACATCTTTTACCTTGACTGTACAGACAGTTATAAAAATAGAAAGCAGAAGGCAATTCCAGCCACTGTTTGATGATATGCGATGCTAAGACTGTTTATACTTCAAGAAACATTTGTGCGCAATCTCCTGTCTTACTAGAAGCAGTATGAAAACTTTTGTGATTGCTACATCTAACAGTCTCTATGACAAAAAATGGAATGCTGATGGATTTATAAACTTTATTAAATTGGATGTAATTGCTTCGGAAGTAAATAAGTTTTAGACAATACTAAACTTTTCCTGATAAAAAATTGTATATTATTTAAATAAAATGGCTACACGATTGTCTCCATTAGCATTTTACTTTTTTACAAGTGTATGTCTGTGTTATGTATTGTTAGGTTCTCAGTTAGTATTCTGAGGATATCTTCAAGATTTTGAAACTAAAACAATGTATTTAAATCATGTGAAATAAACAAATAAATACTGTCCAAATGATTATTTATTTTATTTAATTATTTTATTCATAAGGTACCGGGTTAATATGAACTAAAGGATATTAAATAACAGAAAATAAGGTATTACACAAGATATTTCTTATACAAATATTACAGAGAATAAATAGGTAACTTTTTAAATCATAAAAACTCAAGAAAATTAAAAATCCATGATAAGATCAAAATCTTCATTGTCATCAAAAATATTTTTTGCATCTTTAATTTCAACTGCACTCTTATCATGAAGATCACTATTTTTGCTATCATTATTGGCAATTAACATATTATCAGATGTGTCTTGTTCTATAAGATTGTCATATTCTTTGCTATTATCGTTATTAAAATTCTCTTTAGAATCATTTGGGTAATAAGAATTACTGTGCACATGATTACTCTGAGAAGATCCATGAGTTTTAGTGTTTTGTGAGTACAAGGAATCATCATTTGCTTTATCATTACAAATGTCATTATTGGAAGTATCATAACTATTAAATTGCTTGTCATCAGATGTGTCTAAATACTTTGCCCATTTGTTTTCAAGTACTTCTAACCTAGGTTGATCAGGATAATGATCCTGATTACTACCAAGATACACATCAGTAGCCATCTCAAAAGATGGGTTCATTGGACTTTCATATTCTTTCATGGCATTTAATTTTTGTACCTGAATACGACAATCTTTTCCTGTCCCGTTGAAATAAACCTAAAAGTTTTAACTGACTACTATTCCCTGGTACACGAATTGTTTTTACATCAAGCATGCTATCTATCATTTCTAACATAAACCAGATTAATCTAACATTAACTGATTGATAAATCAATGAAAAACTTACCCGTCTGAACGACTGCTTTGCATTACATAATTTACACTGCCATTTCTTTGCTTTTTTAACAATGTGCACCTAAAAAATGTACAGTAGACAGAACATTAAAAACTGTATCCCACAATCATAACTTATGAACTTAAGTTATTTAAGATCTACCTGATACATGTTGCAGGAAAAACAACATAAAATGTTCATTTGCTGTGACATCTTTGTAAATCAGGATTTTTTAATCGATACAGGAATTCACAAGTTGTTAACACTCTTGCGTTTTGACACACAAAACATTCAAAACAATTTCAAACTTCGAACATGTGCACTGTGCGCCTAATGAAACAGGTTCGCCAACATTTCGGAATTGAATTTTAGCGGGGAATTTATGGGGAAACTATGATTTCTATGAAACTAAAGTATGTATGTATATTCCAATAAATATACGTCAGGTAATATAAGCTTCATTTCATCGAATTGTCTTAAATATAACTGCATAAACATTGTACAATCCTATACTACTGTAGTAGTATCTGCAGAAACTGCTATGATTGCTGGGGTTACTATATAATTTGCTCACGGAAGCACGTCCAAGTGTCAGTCAAATTTCGACAGTTGCACGAGCGAGCAACATTAGACCGAGCTCGAGACTCGTACGAGCAACAACAATACAGGATCACGTTTCAAAACTCTTGCACATGCTCCTGGGGCTCTATGACCCCAAGTACTCACTACACGGGTCTGTGGCGCCACCTGGTGGGTTTCTGTGACCCTACGCCCTCGTCACACGGGGGCTCTATGACCCCACGCTTTCACCGCGGGGGTCTGTGGCGCTACCTGGCGGGGTTCTGCGACCCCACACTCTCATCACCATGGTCTGTGGCGCCACCTGGTGGGGTAATGTGACCCCACACGGGGTCTCTGGCGCCTGCTCCGGGGGTTCTATGACCCCACTTTTTCACATAACGGCGTATCTTGCGTATGTTCTATGACCCTTTTTACCAAGCTACTAGACGTATAGTCGGTGGTGTAGGTACGTAATTGAAAATATGTCTACTGTAATTGTATTGAGAAATCTGGTGAATTTTAATATACATAAAATATACAAGTAGTACAAAAACTGAGACAGTACATATAGTTATAATATAATAACATACACATCTACTGAATATCAATTTTACAATCAGGTAGGATTTTCAGGAGTTCTTCATGTATAAATTTTCTATCTTTAAGATATGATATTCCCTGAACTTGTAATGTTTTTAAATTTCTAAAAGTCATACATGCTATTAGTTGTAAAATAGGCTTCGTGACACTCACTTTATGAATATTCACATATTATACATACTCGAGTGGTTTCAAGCCTTGTAGGCCTTCATCGGTAACACTTTTACACTTAATAATTTTCAAATCAATCAGTGAATCTTTAAGCAGTGATAAGAATGGTATTGTTTGATCACTAATATATTTACAGCTTTCTAGTTTTACTTCCGTTATGTGTTTACAGCCCTCTAAATTAATAACTTAAATGAGGAATTATTATACTAAACTTTATTCCATAAGCAAACTGAAATAAAACTGACCAAAGTACGGAAATCCAACATGAGTAATTCCAGCATTATTAGCATTGACTGCCTCAATGTAATAATCACCTCTTGTTGATGGCAATAAATTATAATCTGTTAACTCTTTAGAGGAATCTTTCCATCTGACAAATGCGCCATTTTTCAAAAGCCATTCTGCACAAGCAAGATCAGGACCAACTAGCTTTCTACGATCCTCATCAACTCTTAAAAAAGAACTTTCCTGTATCAAAAGTTACTTACTTCATATATTGAATGTTTAATACTAATTCCTTTATGCAATACCTATTGAATATGATAGTGAGCCAGTAAAAGAAAGGCCTGACTTGATTTCTTGTGCCATGGGGCACAACAGAATTTAATTTGTTCAAAATCTGGAAAAAAGATACTTATAAGACATTTATATTGCATGTAGAAAGAATGTGTTTTGTTTTAGCGTACATTCATTGCCATGTTTCCTTTCTTTTAATCACTTTTAATTCCTTGAGTATACAGTAATGTTTATATGTCGTGCTTTCAGTACTTATGTACTTGTATTTACGTCGTGAAATGTTCACAGGATAAAATGCAACTATTCCGATAGATGGCGACCAAAGTGTCACAATGGGTAACAAAGTCTTTAATAAGGAATGTACAGTTTTATTTGTTACTTTTATATAACTGCAATTATGACATTTATTCTATGACATATATATACGCATGAAATATTGAGTCAGAAACGAATCAGAATAGTTTATGGAAAATCATTAAGGGGATTTCCGCTAGACTCGCTAAACTCAGTATCCACTCGTGATTGTTCCCCTACAGATGTCAGCGATGAACTATGGTCGTTTCTTTCAGCTGTAGTATTCTACATTATCCGTAGTTTCTGGATTCATACATAATTGTATGTGCCGCCGGTTTGAAGAGTCAAAACAAACCTGTGTGATTTCGCACGGCAGTGATTAGATTTCGAAAAAAGCAACCGTACACCAGCAATATGAGTCGAAGGAAAAGAGCGAAGGTTCGTTTTGTTGTGCTTCACAAATAATCTGAATGCTGTTCGATTTTGAAGATTACTTTTATAAAAACTATTTTACTATCGAATGTTTGGAATACCGTGGCTGGCAAGGTTTCTTATAATGTTAGACCAATGTTTATATTTCTGTGATCCTTGACATAGTATCGTACAAGAAAACGGGTTAATCTTTGTCTTAGACTATGTACATGTTCACAGTATCCGTTTTAGTGTTGTAAACAAGTAGACTAGGTTATGTTTTGATTAAATCTATTGTTTATGATTTGTATTTGTTTGACAACAGTCGTAAGATTAAATTTCTTTGTATGATTCGTACGTGTTTTATATCAGTTAAAGTGAAAGTGTTTTATGCAACTTTTAAGTCATAAATGGTGGTAGAAATTTTTAACCTATATGTCAAACCAGATTTTTTTCTTTTGTTAAGGACCGTTTAGTAACAGATTGAAATTAAAATTATTTATATTAGAGACTAGATCGACAGTGCTTTTTTTCATGTGTACTTTATATAGGTGGAGTATAGAGAAATGGAAGAGAAATATAATCAGTTAGAAGATGAGAATGCATCAGACACATCTGAGAAATCTAAAACTGGTCTTGTGACACCAGAGAAGAAGGTTGTGCCAGATGTGAAAAAGGAATCTGAGACTACTATACCACAGTCTGCTCCTACATCTTCATCGATAAAGATGGAAGTTAAAGAAGAAGATGATCAAGACAGTGATCATGAAGATCCTCATGGTAAGTATGTCTACTATAAAAATATTGATTGTTTAACACAGAAACTATAATGTACAAGTGTTGTTGTAGTGAAAGAGTTACTTAATGGGTTAGAAGGAGCAGCATTTCAAAGTCGTCTTCCCTTTGATAAATTAACTTCTACAGAAGCAGCCTGTTTCCCAGATGTTTCTGGTGGTCCACCGCAAACTCAGAAAGTATTTCTTCATATTAGGAATAGACTTGTATGTAATTCAGTAGCAAATAATTGATCTCCATTGATAACTGGTGGTTTCATTTATGTACGTATATATGTATACGTCTTGCTTCTTTCAGCTACAACTGTGGCTTGAAAATCCTAAACAACAATTAATAATTGAAAATGCTTTGCCAGCTATAGAACCACCTTACAACAGTGACACAGTACTAACACGGCGAATTCATGCATTTTTAGAAAGACATGGTTTTATAAACTTTGGTGTATTTAAACGACTGAAGGTAAGGACATTAAATAATTGACCAATATTGCTAAGATACGATTATATTCTTTTCTTTCAGCCCTTACCGACTAAGAAACTAGGTAAAGTAATTGTAATAGGAGCAGGTATTGCTGGCTTAGCTGCAGCTCAGCAGATGCAGCAATTTGGTTTAGAAGTAATTGTACTTGAAGCGAGGGTAATTGTTGCTGTAACTTGAATTCATACGTGTAATGTATATAAACATTGATTAAAACATATTTCGTGTCTTGTAGGACCGCGTAGGTGGTCGCATTGCAACGTTTCGCAAATCTTCATACATAGCTGATCTAGGTGCTATGGTAGTTACAGGTTTAGGTGGAAATCCCGTAACAACTCTTAGTAAACAAATTAATATGGAACTCCATAAAATTCGACAGAAGTGTCCTTTATACGAAAGCGACGGACAAACGGTTAATACCACGATTTATTTAGAAGTATAAAAACAATTATGTGCTTAAAAGAAAGTACTTGTCTCTATGTTTTTATTGTGGTCAGGTCCCGAAAGATAAAGATGAAATGGTAGAGAGGGAGTTTAACAGGTTATTGGAGGCAACGTCATACCTTTCGCACCAATTAGATTTCAATTACGTGGGTAACGCCGGGGCGACAGGTCAGGGTGGTAACACGCGGCCAGTATCATTGGGTCAGGCATTAGAGTGGGTAATACGCCTACAGGAACAGGGTGTGAAACAACGTCAAGTAGCCCATTTACGGTCCGTGTTATCGCTTCAAGGACGACTTATCACTAATCAGCATAGGGTAAGTATCTTCGAGTAGATTTCATTAATTAATTAGTGAGGTTACCGTCTGAAATGTATCGTTACTTTTACGTTACAGATGATAGCGATCAAGGATCGCTTAGTCGAGTTAAATAAACAGTACAAAGAAATGACCGAAAGTAAATTACAAACCCGCGACATAACACAAGAATTCGTGCTACGTTCGAAATTACGTGACCTTCATAACGCGTGCAAGGTACGAACCGCAGTGATATCTCTGCAAATATTTTAACGTGACTCATACGTCACACGGCGTTCATTCTCTGTGTCTTAGGAATGGGATCAACTGGCTGAGCAACAGAAAGAAATCGAGGCAAAGCTACAGGAGCTCGAAGCTTCCCCTCCTAGGTAAGTTCTATAATCAGTCTTTATCATCCATGAATGTTTTTTTCGTGTCGGTGCTTCGTCCATAAAACCAAACACATGTTCGTTATTTACAGCGACGTGTACTTATCTTCCAAGGATCGTCAGATATTGGACTGGCACTTCGCTAATTTGGAATTCGCGAACGCTACATCGTTATCGAATCTGAGTCTGAAGCACTGGGACCAGGACGACGACTTCGAGTTCACAGGTAGTCATCTGACAGGTAAGTGGCTCGACAATATGTTATGTAATCGAACGCTTCGCTCCATTAAATTAGCTCTTGCTACCGCGGGGCGAAAGTGATTTGGATTTATCCAAGCCCACGGATTAAATTACCCGTGATTATTGATCGCGCCCGTGGCTCATAGACCCGCCGCGAACTTACACGTGAAAACATTCTAATTTCATACGGCGTGCGTTACTCTCGTGGAATATTCTCTCCTGTTTGCCGGTAACACGGCGCAACCACGGGGCATTATATCGACGTTCTCGAGAAATTGCTTAACCAGCCGGTAGATGGTATAGATAACGGGTGAATTATTCGCGGGTTGCATCTCCTTTACAGGCGTCGGATGGTCTCTCGCGGTCTGCGCCCGAGCGGTTGACTTTATCAACCTTATTGAAAGCCGATAGCATGAGATTCCGTGTAGATAGAACCGGTGTATCCCTTAACCGATCGGTTACCAGAGTTCTCATTATGTGAAATTATACTATGATCGCGTAGCGTGTAGGCCGTGCTCGGGTCTACTAATGCGTTAACAAAAACGAAGGCGACGAGAATTATGACCGTAGATAATCAAGCGGTTTCGTATTTTACACTGTCCACCGGAGTGTCTGCTCGGGACGACGGGTACACGTTAATGGTGTGGGTTATACCGTTCCCCGAATCGTTCCCTCGAAGTATTTACATTAAACTAAAGCTTCCCGGAAATAATTGGCATACCGATTCCCACCTGAACCACCACCGTGCCGAGATACTGCACAGTTAAAATTGTTAGGAGGGGATTTCCGGGTGTAATCTCGACTGGTTTCATCAGCAGTTTGAAAACGTACCGATACCAAGTGCTGTTAAATACTACACGCTTATATCTATATATTAGGGCAGCATTGTATCAGAGTTATGAAGGGGTTGCAAAGTTTCTTCGAAGCATTTGGTAAATAGTATCTGATCTTGGATAGTTTCCCATATAAGTAGCACACGGTTACACGAGAAACCAACGCTAGAAATAATCAGTAACACGATCCAGTGGAAGGAAGGTGGGGTTGGGGGTGGGGGAATAGTTCGTCAGCGGCCTTGAACGGTCATTTCGTTCCCGTGCTTCTGTATACCCGTCTATATATCCATATCATAGAAATTACAATCCCGTGATGCTCGGTACCGGTGTTCGAGAGTCCGTAGGAACTCGAATCGCAAAAATTGCGCGCTCGGTACGGTAATATTATGCGCGGCAAAGGAACGGTAAACGCGGGATTAAATAGAGGATACTCGAGCGCGACACGGTTCAAGGTGGAGACGTGTAGGCTGGGTGGACGTTTTGTATCAGTCGACCGTAACTGCGGCGCGCGGCGTAAAACGTGCCTCTCGCGTGTGTCGCTACCGCGAAGTGCATTCGACTGACAGTGAACGAACGAACCGGTCGAGGCTCGAGTTCCAATATTGCTCCACTGTCGTTCTTCGTCGCCCGTGAGACGCAGTCGAGTGCACCGCGATCCTCAAGAGAAACGGAACGACACAACGGGGACTCGAAGAACCCGAAGAGTGCTGCGCTGCGTTCCTTCTCGGCACACACGGTGAAACAAGAGACACGCGAGATGTAGTTCGTGGGGGGGGGGGGGGGGGGGGTACGGTACACTGGGGCCCCGGGCATGGTGGTCAATTCGAAATTAAAGCGATGCCCACGGTCCATGACTGACGTGCATCGATGATCATGACGGTCTGCCCGCAGGTTCTTCCCGGCGATTAATGAGATGTAAACAATTTAACGCTAAATTAAGCACAACAATAGGCTCTCTCCGGTGAATCTTCTCCCTCCCTCCATCCCCATCTCCCCTACCGTCGAAAGTTGTGGGCCCCGAACGCCCGGATCCTTCGATGTAATCGGTTCTTCTTCCCCCGTAACCCGCTCGTACTCTCTTCATCGCGGTCCTCTGAGCTCCGCTTTTACGGACCATCGGTTCCTTCTCGGTTTCAAACGAATCCCGGCTGCACACAGGGTTAATAGCCACTGACCGAAAACCGTTTAGGCTGAGATATTCTTTGAGATACATTTTCGCTTTGTACGTCGCCGACTTATATACACACACACGTTCACTCCGGGCTCCTGGCGCGATCTTTGTTCTGTAGGAAACAATTCCGTTCGATGGGGGAAGTCAATGACGATCTCGAGTATCTTTCATGGAGGGATATCGAATGATCCAACTTTACGCTCAGAGGAGACAGTCAATCCCCCACTCATCGTCTCTATTTCCTATTCAACACCGTTCCTGTCCTTCGCGTCTTCGACACAAGAATGCCATCATTCCCTGTTCGTATATATTGTTTTCGTCCACGGTCAAGAGATCCGCTACACGACCACGTCGGTCAACATTCGGTACTAAAATTCAGGAATGTACACGGCCTCGTATTCCGTAGACCACCTCCCCTTTCCTCTCCTCTCGGATCGCTCGTATACCAGAGAGTTACCGAGCTTTGTTCGCCACGCAAGGACTGGCCCGCGTCGTCGTCGTCAGTGTTTTTCGGTCGTTCGTTGTCAGTCTCTTCTCCATTGGTAGGACGGAAAATCGTAGGCAGCAGCTCGATATTATGCGTATATACATATATCCCGTGCATGTACGTGAACCGAGAGATCGAGAGCTGGATACGATGGGACGTGAAGGGGGCAGGGGGACGATGGGCCATTTACGACGTATCGAAGACATCTATACCGTTCGTTGACTCCGATCGTCGCATTCCACGCCATCGGTGTGTCGCTACCAAAATTATATTGTCGTAAAGCTGACTTCACGCGCACCACGACGATCCCCTTGGCCTCCACCAACGAGATGCAGCCTCGACGAGGTGGTACAAGAGACCACGGTTACGTCCGGTCTCCGCCGAATTCGTTACGAGAACTCGTGGAACTGTCGTTTGTTCACCCACAAAATTCAATCGGATTCCATCGCTGCGTCTCTGAACAGAGTAAAATGATAATGTTTCCCCGCTCGTCGACGTTAATCGGATACGTTCGATTGAGTCCTCGTCGGGTGACTTTTAAAGCGGTCATAAAGTACACGGTGAAAGATAAATCGTCGATTCCGCGGACGCTAGAGAGATATTACCAACAATTGTGGAATCAAATTTTATTTATGTAATCGGTGGATAGCTAATAAAGATGTCTAACGGTCATGGTTATCGCGAGGATAAACTTTTAACTCGGTTACTTTCGGTCGGTTAACAGCTTTCGGAAACGAGAGCGACAAAAAGTCCGAATCTGAAGTTCGAATATCGTTGCGAGAAGTGCGTTCGCCACGTCGCACCAAAGAAGGGATCGAGATCGACACAAAGTGGTGCTTCGAGATGCAAAGATACTTTTTCAACAATCGGCCGATAGGATATTAAAGTCGAGACGGGAACTATTTATCGTCGATGCACGGACAATAACGGGGGAAGAAAGGAATCCGGAATATCTAGGCCTGGCGGTGTGTATACGTGTACACTACCCTAGCCGGAGATCGAAATCAGGATCCCCTGTTAAGGATCGCGGGTTCGCCGTGTATAGGCCATCCGGGGCCCGGGCGCGTTTCGTGTTTCCCAATAACGTTTGGCCCCGGCCGTCAGAAAATTTACGAACCAACGGAATATCGGGGAATATACAAACCCGGTTGCGCCTTAATGAGCTTTCGCTTTCGATCTCCGATCGATTCGGCCCGATGTTACGGCCCGGGGCCCCTTCGAAATAAACGGGACGGCCGGCCTCGGCTCATTTGGCGAGTCGGAGGGGGGGAGCAGCGAAGCAGTCCGCCTGAAAAAAAGAGTGTAAAATAGAATGTGTCGAGACGCGACCGCGTCGCCCGGGTGTTTTTTCGGGATTGGAGGGAGAAGGGGCCCAAGAGGTAAGGGTTGGTGAACCATACGAGAGAAGAGGACTCCGCGAGTCGGTGTTTCCCCGACAGGACGAAAACGTAGGCAGCTTAACATTAGTTGAGCCGAGAGCTGGATGGCAGAGAGACAGAGAGAGGGTAGGAGAGGGGGAGGGGGCCCCGAGCGGTAATTTACGAGGTATCGAAGACCTTGTACACTCCTACCCGCCAACGAGCCGGCCTCGCCCCGCGGAATCCAGTCTTGGCCTTAACGCACCGATACCTTTCCCATGACCACTTTCGGCCTATCCGTGCACACGGCTGGCCTCTGTACCACACAGAGATCCACGGTTATACCAGACCGTGTACACTCCTGGCGGGCCCCCTCGATGTTTGTGCCTTTACCATTTACAGTGCTCCTCGTGTCGGTGAAGAGGGAGGCCGACGCGGTAGGGTTACCTTGTCGATATAGTCTATCTGGGGCTTACGGACGAGCTCCCTTCTCCTCTTTCTACTCCTCGTTCACCCGTGTGTTGCGCTGATCCCCGTGATTTCTCTTCTTAACGTCACCTCTATCGGCCGTGAAGCGTCAACCGCGCGGGGGCCCCCGATTTCTTAGCGCCGGGCATTCCTCACCCTCAAACAAATGGTTCGCCGACACGCGTGCACACCGGGATTAAGTCCTTCCTGACTTGGCCGTCGCGCTCGATACCCTATCACGTTTCCGACTCGTGCTTTTCTTTTTTTTTCTTTTTTTTTTTTTTTTTTTTTTTTTTTTTTGTTATCCTGGGTAGGTATTCTTCGTCGAGCAATAGTTCTCTGTCGCCTACGAGTGTTCTGTCTCCCAGTGGCGATTCTTCTTCTCGACGGTGGCAAAGTTAACGATTCGAATGTGGAATATTTGATCGTAGTTTACTTCGTGATCGGTTAATACGGTTACGTACGTACATATATCGATCGCTCCGTTTGTGATTATAGTGATTGCCCCGCTATAACTGGGATGATGAGTCGCCCTTCGCCCGGAACAGGGTACGGTGTCAGCAGATGAAATGGTGCCTGGGCGCTCGCGGTTGCTTCGGTAATTAGGTCGTTCCATGGTGCATTAGATCATGATACAGCCGAACGTGAAGATAGACGGGCGCATGGCCTCCAGATGTTCTCAAGATTGACCGATAACGGCCCTCGGTGTTCCGGGCCATTGATTAATAACGCCAGCCTGGAAAATCGTACGTGTCCAGTTGTAATTGAGTCGTATGCCTTCCCATTCGGCCACGGTTAACGAGAAAGGCGTGTATACCTTGTTCACGGTCCTTCAATTACCTCTAATCCGGCTTTATTTATCGAGGCAACATCATACGATCCCCGGCGGCCGTTGAAAATGGCCCGTTTCGAACAGTTTCACAAGCCTTACGGAACGCGACGCGTGGGGAGACTCTGGGAACCGTCCCGGAGCGGGCAGAACGTCACTTCGCCGCGATTAAGTATCCTTCGTTTCGCGGCACGTGGGTTAATCAACTTCCGAGCAACGTCACCGAGGCTTATTTATGCGCGCTTCTCTCTCGGGTGGATGCATTCGCGCCGATAACAAAGCTATGCGAGGATATACGCGCACGTATATACACACAGGTACAGACCTCGCGGGATGATGACGCGTTTAAATTTCCTGCAGACCGTGCGCGATCGCTCGCACAACCGCATCGTTGGATTTCCTTGACGCGCTTTAAGTCCTTCGCCCCCACCTACCACTCGCCCCTTCCCTTCGATAGATGTACTGTAACGTCGTTGGAAAGTAACTTCAAGGGTCATGAAGTTGTCGAGCCGACGAATTATTTCCCTCCGTACTTTGTATAACCCGTGTTGCCAATCTGTCATCGGTTATACCCCGTTCGCGCTGCCAGCCAGTGTATTTATGCGTTCCGCCTCTCTCTCTCTCTCTCTGTCTTTCTTTCTTTCTTTCTCTACACCACGGACACGATGTTTGTACCAGATATCGCGTGTGTATGCGTGGTGTCACCGGGCCCCGAGTTATTCATACCGAATTTCGTTCTCAATTAGGCGGCTCCGGGTCATCAATCATCGTACGCGACCCCGATCGGCCCCGTGTAGACCGGGGCCTCTGCGCTTCGTCCCTGAATCTCGTCGGTAGACGTATTTAACAAGCCTTTTTCGAGGATGTGTGTCCCCTTCGAGGAACCGTGGGTGGAGGCTACACGAGAAATACGAAAACCAGGCTCGTTACGTCCGCCCATCCGATTATTCATCTAGGATGATAATTCGTGTGTACAAACGAAATCATGGGACCAGTGGGCGTGTCTACATATTGGTGATTATATCGAGAGGATGTTTCGAAGCGTAAACGAAGGGAGTTTATTGTCACAGGCCATTATAACCCGCGTTGCTTCGACGCCTAATAAATTTCTAGCTCGAACCCCCCCCACAACGCGAGAAGCAACAGATTCTTCCCCTCCCAGTGTTGGTTTCTTTCGGTGGAGCAATCGAATGTTCCATTCCATCGTCCTCGCACCAGGCTGGTCTCGTTAAGCTTCGATGAAAATAAGTACCGTGGTTCCTCTTTGCAGTCACCCTTTCCGCTCTATCCTGTTCGTTCGCCTCCCACTCTTCCTCTCCGTTTTAATTAGACTCGTTTCCACCATCTTGATTAGAGGTTCCTCGAGGCCCTCCCTTACTTACGCTTATTGACCGGTCGAACCGGCGCGGGGCGTAACTGTGGACTTAAGTTATCCGGATAATTCGAGTGTCAGGGAACCAGAGTGTGCGTGAGAGAGAGAGAGAGAGAGAAGGAGATTGCCTTCCGTGGAAGGTGAAATTGGGATAAAGGGGGAAGGAGGTAGTCCTCGAATTGGCAGTTCGACCGATGCCCGGTGCACACACAACGCGCGGTTCCTTTAGACTCGGTTTCCGGCTCGGTACCCGCTCGGCCGTCTGGTTAACAGCCCCCTCGTATAAATTCGAAACGCGCCAAAAGTTCGCCTTAGCGCCCCCGGGTAACGTAATCGGTCGAATGATGGTGGCGTATACTTCGTGTTTTCTTTTCTTTTCTTTTTTTGCGGGCTAATAAGGCTTATACGCCTCGCCCGCGACGAGGCGCGCGCGACGCTACATTTTTCAAATTAATGCCCGGTAATCTGCCGGGCCCGACAATCGTTCCAGACGAGGGGAGAGGGTGGGGGGATTACGTGACGGGGGTTGAGGTACCGGGGGCATGATTAAACGGGGCCCCAACGTGACGGGGAGAAGAATGACGGTGACCATTATATGTTAATGCCCGGCCACACGCCATACGACGATTACTCCCCTCCGGACCTTTCACCATCCTTCGCGCCCGGTGCGTTTCGCGGCCGCGTAAAAAACTAGTATCGGCCTCGTGAAGTTTTCGCGGGTATTTATCTTTTCACTTAACAGCCGTATGGTGATGATGATGTCTGTTTTCGCACGCGTGCTCCGGCCTCTCGTAATGCAACTCATCGGTCCCTGTTATCCGTTCGGATATTTTCCGCGAAGATGAGCCTATATTTCATCTTGAACTCTTGTTAACTCATTGCAACGGAGATATTCTCGAGGCGAAATTCTATCCCGCTGTGAGTGACAATTATTCACGTTTAATAGATCACTCTAGAAGATTATCGAAAATTTTCTGTATTGCTCGCACAATGCTATTTCGAAATGGTATTCCCTGTTTCGGTTCACGAGGGAACGAAATTAAAGCCACGCGAAAGGGTTTAAACGGAGTATTTACGACGAAACACGCAGGGGGGGATGGGGAAAGGCGGTTGGACAGGGCTAATTTGGAGTAAAATTTGGAGCAAGCTCCGGGGAGAGAAGGCCGATTTAGCAGATGGCACGGATTGCTGTCGCCTTCGCCTCGTAGGAACAGCAGCACCTGGTGACCAGCCGCTTTCAATCTGCCACCTCGCGCGGCTCGTAAAACTTAGCCGGTCGGTCTAACGACGGCCATTAAAAGCCCGCGATAGAAAAGTTCGGGACGTGCATCGTCGGGCGATAATTAACGATCGATCGATTGTACGTGTGTGTATCCCGGGTGTGTACGGACGGTGAAACATTATCCGCTGAAAAACCGATGTTTATCTCGATGATGAATTCGAGGCAGTCTGTGGACCTACGAAGGGCGTCCATAAACCGGAAGCTAACGGCCGAGTGAGAAAGAGAGAGAGAGAGAGGGGGGCGGGGGCACTCTTAATATCGTTAATGGCGGCCAAATTTACCAGGGAATTACTCTCCGTTAACGATGAATTTACCAGGAGGGAACCGCCTGGAAATTTATTACGTGAAATCGCAACGTTCATTAATCTTTTTCTCCTTACCGTTCCTGTGCTTCTTCCGCTATTCGACGACGCAGCAGCAACAGTTTTCGCGTTCCATCGCGGGCTATTTGTATTTACATTGGAAACGCTAAGCGGAATTCGATCCTCGGCTCTCATGTTTTATTTAACAATTTCAAACCGATCGAGAGAACCTGGGGAAACACCTCTCTTTCTCTCTTCGACTGCTCCTTTAACG